ATGATTTTTTACGAAACTTCATAGTAAAAGTGGTACAGTTTTAGCCATAAAATGAGTTCCGTAGGGAATTTGCATTGTCTATATTTATAAAAATGGAAACTTTTATCGTTATCAAAATAGAGCAAAGTCCATTTTTACAGCAGTAATTACAAATTTTACGTCAAGGAAAGATGCGAACAATTAAACAAAGATTATCTAAAATTGTTCATCTTTTTATTATCAACAGTATAAAGAAAAGATATATTCGTTTGACCATGTAGGTCAAATTTTCGAAATTTTCCGGGTTCCCGATCAATTAATTCTATGACATGAGTTTTGAGCGTGATAGAACATTTGACCGTTGCAGACGATTCCAATTTACACATTACCCCCCCCCCCCCCCTCAATTTGAGAATCGACTAAGCTCTCCATCAGGGTATTTATTTCTAATCATTAATTCTCCATCAGGGTATTTATATTTAATCAACAATTCTCCATCAGCAGTGTATATAGTGTGCGAATCCTGAAATACCATTTTCACTGTATCCGCTTTAAATTTCTGACGTAGAATAATAAATAAACATACGACAAATTCATGCTTTTTTAATAAAATAAAATTTGTACTGTTTTTATAAATTCCTGATATAGGTAAGAGATGCGAATGGGTTTTCATCGCACCTATAGCCATCCTGGTGTAAAATTGATACACAAATAGATAAATATTAAGAATAGTTCACGAACAGAGCGTGCAAGAGATTTAAAAGCAACAATTAAGTTTCATTTGTAGAAAAATGTACCTTTTAACATAATTATTAATGTTGCATAACTTAAAACAGGTTTTGTCGTTCAACTTGTTGATATTGAATTAAATTCCACTATGCTGTTTTCGTTATGCGATTCATGTTTACTGTCGAATAATGATACATGACTTGCATTTTCACTGTATGGCGATTAATTTCTATTGCATATGCGATGCATTTTCACAGAAGGAAATTAATTAATTTTCATCATATAAAGTCTTAATTCAGACGACCCTCTAACAAAATGTAAGAAGTCAGAAGGACTGATTATATATGCATACATTGTGAGTGAAAGGTGAATAAATTCCGTAAAAATAGCATTTATGGCATATGTAGTCAATTCTATTTTCTCTAATAATTTGTCCAGATCTGATCTATATGTAGAATAAATTTTATCCTTTCCTTTGACACGCCATCATTGAATACATATATCTTGGACAGTAAAGCCAATCCACGTTACCGAAAAAGCAAAGCTAAATCTACATCACAAACTAATGAAACGTCATTAGAGCTATTTTCCTAATGCTTGCAGATTAAATGTGTGGTTGGCTTGCTTGCTTTGTTTGTATAAATGTTTGCTTAAATATTGTAATTAAGTTTGAGCAAACATTTATATATATACAAACAAAGCAAGCAAGCAAACCAAACATCTAAACTACAAGCATTAGGAAAATAGCTCTAATGGATGCATCTTAGATAACAAAGAGCGTTCAAAATACAATCTTCATTTCACTATTGAGTGAGCGGTAACGTTTTCATCGCGCACAAATTATTGCCTTATATTTGACGCTTGGATGACTGGATATTTGAAATTTCACATGCCATTGTGTATACATCTTATACAGTAAAGAAAGTTTGAGTAACAATCGAGTCACCTTAATTTATGTTTGAATTTCTTACAAATTGTTGTTACAAATAAGCAAATACGTAATTGTAAGAATACAAGGCCATATTAAATACATTGTATTGTTATATATTTAAATAGTTCTATGTCACGAGGTATAACCGCCGTACAGTTGATTCCGGACGTTAATTGCTGCATCGCGAAGCGACGTTGGTAGATAGACCGTCCTAATATTTTCACCAAAGACTAATTGACGCACAGTTCAGTTAAGTATTATATGTTTAAGAAAACAAAGTTTTTGCTCCTGACAGCATTGTATATCATTTATGTTACATGAACAAACTGTGACTATTTTAAACAGACAGGTCTATGAATTACTTGTAAACATCGCGAAACAAACATTCTGTGTAACTCAAACTTGATTAAACTACAAATAAAGCATAATTGGTTGGGTCTTACACTAAATGCGACCGTGTTTTTTGTGATTTGTTGTTATTTAAAATACATAATGCGATGAGAAACCCGTTGTTTTATTCTATTTGCAGACATTTGATTGAAAAACTGTCCTCAAAATTTCGGCACTGTACGATTCATTCTCTTCGTAGTTTGTTTGCCTTCTTTGGTACCGTTCGTTGTAAATTCTTGTACTGTTCGTTGTTCGAAAGCCTACCAATATGGTAGAAATGTGTTTGAAACGGCGTGAAAAATTCACAGCTTTTTCAAGCGATTACTAAAACTTTTCCAGGAAAATTCGCCATAAAGATATGCTATATTAATGGATGTTCTACTCCAGTATATTTTCGGATCCATGACACACTAAAAGCAAACTCACCAAAATTATTTGAATATGCATGATATGAACGTGTATCACCTTAAAACGATGTGACGCATATCACCCCGACCTTCATGTGAGCTTGACCTTTGACCTCAAGATCAAATTACTGGATATCTTAGAAACTTGCAATCAGGCGCGATGAGTGGGCTTCTCATGCCCTAGAAAGTTCTGTTTCACGTCAAAGAAATACAAAATTCATGTTGTTTTAATTTTCAATAGGAAATTTTAGAAATGTCAAATAGTTTGAGTAATTGCTTGCTTACAAAAAATAAAAGATAGGTATTTCAATAGAAACAGCAAATTTTGTTCTCTATGTTTTACTAACGAACGGTACAGAACTATACCGAAAACATGCAACGAACGTACAGAAAAAAAATCGACGAAACGGTACACAACGCACAATGTCTGGAATCAACTATACGTTGGTCATACCCGTGTATATTCAAGTAAGCACCTACGGCTAGCTTGCATTTCAAATTGTAAATATCATCAATATTAAAGTCATTAAAAGACTATTTTCAGTTGTCGCTGGTCGAATTATCATAAAAAACAACAAGGAAAATTCATGGCAACTCCAAAAGTTCCATATCAGAAATGATCGCACTTACAGTAATGATACATCGCTTTTATAGTTAAAATGAATCGCATTCAGTAATCAATATTATTGATTCAGCTGCTTTAACTACACTTTTTGAACTTTAATCCTGTTATTATACATTAAAAAGTTATATTCTAATAAAATTGTGTTAAAACATACATTCAAATCAACTATTTTGTATTTTCAAAAAGTAAACAAACGCACAGTTTTTCCCATCATCTTTATTCTCCAATAGACATACTCGCATACGACAGAGAAAATGAACTTACTGGATTCGCACTTCATATACACTGATCAGGGTATTTATATTAAAAACATGCTATAAAATAATGATGGAGAGGTTTTAAACATCAGCCGCAATAGGTTTTCTCTCCAGTTCTGTAAAACGTATCATTTAATTTATTATATGATATTTGCATTTTTTCTAAATACCCCTTCACCATCGATTCGACTATTCTGTATATTATGTGACAATCTGACCGATCGAAGGTGTTAGAGGTCACACAGTGTAAAGCAATACGACTTGCATGTACCAATGGTTACTTGCTGAACAAGGTGTGTATTACATATATATATATATTCCTTTCTTTTTATTTTTTTATATTTTTTTTCATTTATGTTCTATAGTCTACATAACTGTTAGCTGTAATAGTGGTATCATTAATAAATTATTTAAATATAAAAAAAATCAAGGAAAACAAACTGAACCTTAGAATCGTTAAGATGTGTAAAATTCAGATATAAGATGCTGCTACGAAACATTTTATAATTAATGTTATAAAAACATTTTTAGCTGTATGATGACGATTCTGAAAGAATTTTTGGACGCTATGTCTGTGATGTCAGATATTATGCATATGCGATAGCACTGGTGAAATAGTAATACTAATACATAGACAGAGATAATATGACGACTGTCTTTTATAGAGACTGAGTGTTGATATCTACGTATACAGTCAGAGAAAAGATAAGGAATTTAGTTTTTTCGTATGACGAAGCCTTTCAGAGCCTTTTATAGCTTACTATGTGGTATGGGTTTAATTTTTGACGGCCGTACGATAACATTTAGTTGTTAACTTTTATGTCATTTGGTCTCTGGTGGAGAGTTGTCTCATTGACAATCATATCACATCTTCCTTTTTTATATAAAGAATTCCTACTTAATCTTATTTTAAAAATGCAAGTAAACCCTGGAAAAAAAACGAAATTTAAAGGCGTCTCTTAGGGGTGTTAAATGCAGAAATTATAACAATATATTTCTTACTGAAACAGTTCATCAATGAAAATGCGTTTGAGTCCTTAAACGAATTATATATATGAAACAATATTTACAGACACATTCAGTTATATTCTTTGTGGTTAGTAAACCGTCCCACCCCCAACCCCCGCCCCGACGCCACCCCACCCCAACACACTCACACAATATCGGACTCAAATTTGTAGAAGCAGGTGCACAACTTCATGTTCCAGTTTTTTTGAAATTCTGTCAATTTATTTTCAAGGAGTTGAGGCAATCTGTATTCATAAGTGAATTAAGAGGGTCTAGTACAAAGAGGCCAAGTGCATTTTTGACGACAAAATAGGACGATTTCTTTACAAATTAGAGGATACACACACGTTTGTATTCATAAGCAGAATATATCACAATGATATCTTTCACATCTTTCTTAATCTCATGTATAAATGTTATCTATATTATTTACCAGTTTAATCTAAATTTGTAACTACTAATAGTTCAAAACATTACTATCTACAAAACACCTAGAATTTAATTGAAAATATCTTTAAACAGAAAAATGTGATCCATAATGTGATCATAGAGTACGAAAAACTGAGGAAAATGTGAGGAGTTTGTCTCAGAAAACTACGTTGTTTATTTAACAAAATATTTTAACAATTATTTTATTCCATTAAGATTCACTATGTTATTTCCCTATGCAACACATTGGTCGTTCATTTTATTTACAAACTTTATCAAAACTTTAACAAAAGAATTATGTGCAAAAACATACTCAAAGTGATACTAATTTGTTTTGAATACTGATATTGTTGTTCCGATTTTGTTTGCAATGTAACATTTAGATAATTCCTTACTGAAACAAAACGAAAGGGGTCTGTACAAATTATCTTTCAATAAAGTCTCTACTAAAGTTCCAGTGGATGTAAGTTTATGAATTATTTGTGAATCGTAATCCAAAACGTATATATTTCCTGCATCATCTGTTATCGTATTTCTTGCATAACGAAGATCGGATGAAGCATAGGAAAAAATAGGACACTCATCTAATGTAATGCAATGGACTGCATTTTCACTTGAATAACAAATGTTTCCATTTGAGCAAACGGAAATGTATCCAACAGCGCTCTGTCCGAACCGGCATTTTAGACGAACTTTTCTTTGATTATTTCCATTTAAGTCTAGGACCTGTATATTATCTCTAGTACATACAAATATGTTATCCGTTGTCGCAGCAACACAATAACCTCCACTTTGTTCCACTTCTACCTTTTTTGATATCCTGCGTCTTTCGATATCTAGGAACTGTATGTACGGTTCAGGTCTACTTGACATAACAGCAGTGGTTGTTCCTGGTATTGTTGCTATATCCAATGGTTGATATGGAGAGCTGATAAATGATTGGTAGCTATCATTTTCATCACAAAAATAAATCTTTTGCGTACATCACAGAAAACCAAGGTGGTATTGTCGGATACCATGATGCCAGTTACTTTTCTTAATTTTTCGCCTCTCATATCAATGTCGTAGAGATGGGTGAAAAAGGTGATCTGGCGCTTGACAACCACTTGAACCTGTGACTGACGCTACTTGTATGGGACAAACAGAAAGGAACGAGGTGTTTCCTTTACTTCTATTGATCCGAGATCTGCTAATTTTTCCTTCGAACCGTTTTCTACGAACGTAAGACTGATGTCTGCAAACGATTCGATAAGCTGCTTAACTTTGTTTTCAATTTCATCTAAGATTATTTTGGATGAATAAATAGAAACAAACGCTTGTTTTTCAGAACCATGATCTCTAATGAATACCAATGATTCCTTTTGAGCTTTTGTGGAGTTTAATAAGTCCTTTATACTTTTATCCTGTCGTTTCAAACTGGTTACATATTTGTCTTTCTTTTCAGTTGATTGTTTTAAAAGCGACTCTCCTAAAGCTTCCAACTGTTTGATAACATTTTCTTTCATTGTCTTTATTTGTTTCAAAATTTGGGTTTCTTCTTTATCAATTAGACTTCCATTATCCTTGCAATTCTTGCTCAATGTTTCCAATGTCTTTAAAATAAAACGCCACTGTTCTTCAGAATCCAGGAAAGACTGCGATTGTTTAGAATTATTTGAAGCAATGCCAATTGATGTGACGTTCTTGCATGTTTGGTGATTTTTTGGCCAACATTCCTTACAACAAATAACATCATGATCAACACAAAAATAGTCAAAAGGTAAATGTTGATGCTTTAATTTGAACAATAATACGATAAATAATTTGTTCTGGTATTTTACCTATCTTAACTAAATGGTGATTTCTGGACATTTTGTGAACTCTATGCGCCTCTGCACAATCGGAACATAGGGCTCCTTCACATTCGGTACACCATTGGGATGCTGTTGTAGTCATACCACGCGCAGTACACGGTTCGCAGTAATTGGCTGCCATATATCTGTAATACAAATAATTTCAAACTTTAAGATAGAACTTTCACATATCCTTTTTTCTAAAAGGATTTATTATTACGATAATAACTAGAGTTAGTGTCTTTCTTATCAGGTCATGCAAATCACAAACAAACAAAAAACGTTTACAAATTGTAAGAATAATGGGTCGTATATGGTATATATCAGGTTAACGTGTTGTGCATTTAGGAGTAAGAACAGCATTTGGTAGACTAGGCGTCTGAGTTTTACTTTGAAATTTGTCGATTTAAACCTTCAATCTTAAAATAATGGTTACAATGTAACGTGTAATTTTTTTTTAGCATTCGAATAGAGTGGTTCCTTTTATGAATAAAGAGTAAAACGAAAATTTGTGTCGTTATTCTTTTTTTTCATATGGAATATGTAGGTCAATGAAGCTTTGTTGGCTGACTAGTTAATCGAGTTTACAAAGTCATGATAACTTTCATGAGTGTGTTTTATTGTTCTGTACCTAATTAAATTAATCAGAGTGAGACAAGTAAAAACAAGAGGCTGTCAGAGTGATAGCAAACAGGATTCATCTGCATGAAAATGATATTTGCAAATCTGGACCCCCAAACAGGATCATGTAAAAATTAAACATTTACACACACACAACAAAAATAAAATACCACATAACAACTGAGACATCTACCTTCAAAACACACATGACTTAAAAAAAAATAGTTATAAAGAAATTTTTGACAACTCCTCACTAAAATCAATTGAACAGATACAAGCATTGATAGACTGTCTATCCATATACTTATTAATTACACCATTTCGGTTCAAAGGGAAATAACTCGAAATAAAAATAAATCATACAATAAGTATCACTGTTCGCTACTGAAAGGTCTACAACTCAACAACGAGAGATGCTGAAATCGTGAAAATTGAATTTGACCTTCATTTAGTCACAGGAAACAACATATCTAAATTTGAAAAGATTTCGTCAAAGCATTTTCATGTTAATGAACAAACACTGTTTGGTAGCCGACCGCCCGCACGCCCGGCCCGCCTGTCCGCTTTTTCCTTCGAAATTCAGGTTAAAAAGTGTAGATTAGCGTTCTAAAAAAGGGTCCTGTGATGAGTAAAATAAAGAATTTAAATTTGTGCCAGTTCGTCATGCCAATAACTCATATATGCAATCAAACTAAGGATCTCTGCCATGTTGACTGATTTGCAGATATCTCATTTTGCTATAAACAGTATTTTTTTTTGTATTATCTACTATAAAATTGTCCGGATTTACAACTAAACAAAGTCGTCATTTAATGTAAATAATTTCGATCAGGAGTCGACCGACAATTTCTGTCATTTAACTTTATTTATACGTCTAGCCGATCATTATCTAGTTTCCGAACAAAAAACACACAAAAATGGGTGACAGTGCACACGCTGAAATGTCTCGCCTGTTTTACTTATCATTTAATTCATGTTGAAAGTCTGTTATATAAAGGTAATATGAAGGTTTTACTACAAATATCTCATAAACTTAACATTAAAAATTTTCTATGAAGATAAGGTCAAGGTCAAATGAACACTGCCAGACAGACATGTACACCTTACAATCATTCTATACACCAAATATAGTAGTGCTATTGATAATAGTAGATGAAAAGCAGATCAAACAACAAAATCTTAGCATTGACCAATGAACCATGAGTTCAAGTTCATAATAATCCTGCCAGACAGACGTGTACACCTTACAATCATTCCATACACCAAATATAGTTGACTTATTGCTAATAGTATCTGATCAACTAACAAAATTACAAAAACTAAAAAATGTCTAATGAACCACGAAAATGAGGTCGAAATCAACTAAAACCAGCCAAACGGACATGTACACCTGGCACTCATTCCATACACCAAATATTGTGGCACTATTGCTCATAGTATCTGAGAATAAACCAAACAACAAAAACTAACTGTACAATAAACCGTAAAATTGAGGTCATTGTCAGATAAAACATAACGGTCGGACATGTACATCTTACAATCATTCCATACACCAACTATAGTTGACATATTGCTTATAGTATCTAAGATACGGACTTGACCACGTAACGTAACGTAACGTAACGATCAATAGAATAGGGTCGAGGTCCACTGAACCTCACCTGACGGACATGTAGACTTTTGAAGTAACCCATATGCCAAATATACTTATCCTTTTTCTCATCATAAGTGAGTATTTCACTTTTAAAAAATCAAGCAGTCACTGAACCTTGAAAATGAAGTCAAGGACAATACATATATGACAGACTGAAACTTCGTGATAAAAGGTACCTGCACGCAAAGAATGAAGCGTCAACTTAAGGTCTTCTACCTTCTGATATATAAACTTTACATAAATGGTTTACGCCGTCGCAAAATTCGTAAAACTCGTCATGAAGGGCAATAATTCCTATAAGAAGTCGTTCTGATGTAAATACACAATAGGTAGGTCTTACATTCAGAAAATATCAGCCCCTGACAGATTTTCTCCATTAATAGCGGTTTTCAAGATTATAGACCAAATTTGCATATAACTCCTTCGTTCTATCGGCCATGTTGACTGGCCAGCAGGGGCATCGGAAACGATACCCTAATGAAGTTTGGTAAAATTTGAAGTAGTAGTTTAAGAGCAGAAGATTTGTTTAAAAGTTAACGGACGACGAAGATGACGACGATGGACGACGGACGCCAAGTGATAAGAAAATATCGCGTGGGCATTTGAGAAAGATTAGCTAAAGATGGGTAAATATTGTCATTAACGGGCAACAGTTTCTATAAGGAGCCAACTGTCTATTCAGGTTGTTTTCTTATTTGTTGAACTTGTCCTGCTGAACATGCAGGTTATTTTTTTTTCTGTTTACGGCTTTTCTCTTTTATACTTTTTTAAGACAATACAATAGCCAATATCGCAAAAATGGTAAAACGCGAATTTGAAGAGTAATATCACCTTTTATGTATAAGAGTTTCGACCACGCTGACTTAATTGTAGAACTTGTCCTTGCGGCTGTTATTCAATATTACTGAAGACAGTTTAACGTTTTTTTTTATATTTACTAGGTAGGATCATTGGACATAATTATATTAAACTTTAAACCACATAGATGATTGAGGCCAAGTTTGGTTCCAAGTCGCCTTGTCATTAAAAGGGAAAGGTGATATCTTCATACATATCACATTGATTAATCAAATAAATAGATGTATCAAAGTGATATCCCCACGGCCCAAGAGGTTCAGCTGACCTTAAAAAGAGCTGTCAAAGTGCGTAAACCCTGAATTTTAGGTTATAGTTGATGACACAATCAATACCCATACAATGCTTGCAAAATACACTAAATTAAACATAACATTACAGTAAATGTGTGAAAAATAATGTATATGGGGATTATGAAAACACTTGGAAAACAATCACCATCACAAAAATGTCGATATTGAGCGGAAACAGGACAGAGGGATAGTGAGACATCCGTTTTAGAAAATAGAAGAATAGAAGCTGAACGAAGGAGTAGGAAAAGAGAGAATGGAGATTTGATTGGATAACACATTGAAGGTTCGTTAGCTGTCAGACAATTCATGGACTCCGTATAATGTATCAGCATTTTGTGCGTATTTAGACTAGACTAATTGATCACCGAGTTTAACTCCTTCGACCCCATGCAGCAACACACAGCTGCAATGGATAAGCAATGCAACTTATTTCGACATAAGTTATTTGAAAAATTGTAAATTACCTTGAAAAAGTAATACCTTTAACCAAATGGCGACCAGGAAGCTTAACACGTTTTGTTAACTGTTGTTAGTAACCAGGTAGGGTCGATATAAGTTATGCCGGTTTAAATATATAAACAAGTATAAGCTTTTAAAAAATCTCCCCACACAGATTTCAGAATCTAATAAAGGACAATTTATCGTCATAACTAGAACCGCATTGCTCCATTCTCTTGAATTTGAAACCATGCATAAGGAAAATTGAAAAAATCTCGTACGTTTTCTTGTTTGCTGATTTAGTAGAATGTGTCAATTGTCTTATATTATATAGATTACTTAGTACTCTAGTTGTAGAATCTACTTTCAGTTACATTTCGCGTGTTTATTGTAGTATTGTGTATGAATAGCATTCGACAAACATTAATTACCATCTTGTTGTTTTGCATCTATTTTGAAAGAGCTAACAGTAACCTCAAATAAACCACGGGAGATATTTTTCTTGTATTATTCATTAGAGATCCATCCTTGCTGATCATCATCATTATTACCACTGAGTAATTTTAATCTGATTATTTTTATGCAAGTTCCTTAATAATTAAAAATAAAATTTGAGTTGATGTAATCATTGCTGTACTTAACCGTTACTAGGAAATAATGTTTGTTTTCTATTTAACTTGGACGTCATGTGATAGGTAATGTTTTTTTGCAACAAATACCGTAAATGCTCCCGCAGACGAAGCGCATCATGCGCATGTCAACATTTGCCCCTATCATTACTACTCAGCTATTGTCTAAATCATTGCAATGGATAATATATAGAATTTATATGGAGGATTGACGAAATGCGACTCGGTTGTCGGGAAGGACATTCAAAAATAAATGTTTAAACAGACTTTAACCATGTGAAATAATGAAGACAGAATAAACCACAGTGTGCATGCTATTTCAGAATAGGACACATAATTCATGAAGGTACTTAATTGCGTAGGCGGATCCAGGGGGCCCTGTGGTCCCGCCCCACCCCCCCCCCCCCCTTTTTCGAGGGGAAAAATTTGGTTGATTATATACGGAATAACTGAAGCATGTCTGTAGCGGGCTCCATCTTATGGCAGTCAGTGGTTCCCCCTTATAAAAAGTTCTCGGTCCGCCACTGAATTGCATATGTTAATCCTTGTTTAAGTACGGTTCGTGCATGTTCTTCAACGTTTAACTTTATATGGTCATCGTGTTAGAGTCGGAGATAAATTTTGATTTAGAGTTCGAGCTATAGTTCGAGTTAGAGTCAAAGTTAGAGTCAAAGTGATGTATACAGTTGTGTTTTGAGTTCGAGTTAAAGGTCGAGTTTTTTACTTGGGTTTGTTTTTCAATCTTGAATCCAGAAGTTAATAAAAACTATATTACTAATTAATTTTAAGAGCAATGAAATTTCATGTATGAAACCAAATTGGGTAAAATTCTTGTTTAATTTCATGTAAGAAATATTTGTTGAGGCCAAAACGATGTTTCGTTGAAACATATTTTATTTACCTTTAGAAACGTACCCTTACCACAGTACCTCCTTAGTGGCTCTTTTTTGTCATATCTTAAATTCATTTCGTGAGTAATGAACTTTGCAAGGTGCGATGATATGTATTCGTTAGTTCTGCTCACAATACATCTAGTATGTCATTGCAATGTGGTTTCAAAACGTATTATATCATGAGTAATTGAACCTTAAACAGATGCAGGATATTTTATTGTTTAATTCATTTAGAACAGTTAATATACTCCTTGTGATATAAACAAAACTAAATTTCTTGTATATATATTGAAGACTCCTTACACTTATAAACTTACTGGTAAGTTGAGTATCCCTACATGCAAGCCTCAAGCTTTGTCATCTTGGTTATATAATAAACCAATATGTAGTAGTACTAGTGTATTTCACAGGTAACTCTGTGAAAGGGTAAACTATAAGAATCTGATAGCGGGGCAAATATTCATGTTAAACAATCTCAAAGGAGTGGAACATCCCATCGAAAGGCTCATCTGCAAACAAAGATCCAACACTATAAAACTCATGTAATTTACAATGCAAGATATTTTGCGATGACCAAGATAGGCATTAAAGCAATAAAAGGGGAGTTAGTCTGAGGTAAAATTCAAACAAAATATTGCCATACAATGCTTGCAGAGCGAAAAAGATGGAATCTTAGTTAAAATACACAAATAGGGAAAACCTCGATCAACCCGTTACACTTTATTCATCACGGATACATATTTAATGCCCAGTGGCAAATATAAGATTCATATTAGGATGAGGACATAATAATGTAATATCTATATGAACCCTGCACTTTTCTTTGCACTAGGCAGCTGACACGCTAAGCCGGATCCTTAACTACTAGTAATACAAAAAAAGTTCACAGGAAATCGTGTTATCCTATCAGTACATGTACATGTAAACATTATTCTGCCTTCGGCCCGATAATCTTTGGTCTTACTTCTTAATGTAATCTGCTTAGCAGCGAAGCCTCAAATACTCAATTTGAACTCTTTGTTTGACCAGCACAGGGATCAAACCTACCCATTCGAGATGAGCACGCTTACACACAAAATACCACAAACCCTCAAAGCAGTTTTCAATATATACAAGAAATTTTGTTCTTTTTAAGCCATGGCTATGACAGTTTATTTTCGACTTATGAGTTTGAATGTCTCTTTGGTATCTTTCGCTTCTCTCTTGCAAAGTTCACTATTTACTAAGGGAATTCAAAATATGACAAAAGAGATCCACTAACAACTTATGGTACGTTTCTTAAGGTAAACTAACTCTGTTTCAACAAAACATCGTTTGCGACTCAAGATATTATTTCCTCCGTGAAATTTCTTACTCGAAATTTCATTCCTCTTAAAATGAAGCACTATTATATTTTTTCATTCTGGAGACGCGATTGAAATACGAACTCAAATTAAAAAGCACGAATTATAACTCGAATTTTAAACCGAGTGTAAGTCAAAACACAACTGTATTACTAACTTGGACTCTAACTCGAACTCTTAATCGAACTTTATCTCAAACTTTAACTCGAAGACCACATAAACTAAAACGTTGAAGCACATGCACGGATCGTACTTAAACAAGGTTTGACATATGTAATTAAGGCAGGCTAAATGTCGTGTAATAGGCAAAAATCTAATTTTTATTATGACAAGCACGATTTTGTTTATTTAATATCCTTCAACCAGACGTTGCACAAAAGATATAAACTTTTCTTCGTTAATGATCCAAAATTTAACCTCTGTTCAGACGTATAACTGGTGAGTTTTGTTTATATTTTTTTTCAGACCAAAGCAAAACGTTTGATATGAATCACAGCACAGCACCCATCTTCAACTGTGATACGTATACTAAGTTTTTTTCTAATTTAATTTGGAAGCTGGAGAACAAACCCACAAGTAGGGGTCACTCATTCAGTATTTAAATAAACGTAGAAATTGTTTTAATGATTTAATGTTTAAGTAAGACTTAGTTTAATTTCCATTCTGCAAATGTAGATTTTGCGCTTCAACCACCAAGTAACGTCTAAGTACAGGCTGCTTATGGTCGCAGGTATACAATATCACCTTGGTTGACCGCAACCATAATAGTCCCAGAATCGGAGCCGAAGTCGGCATTGGCATCGTTAGTTTCACTATATGTGCTACCGTATATTGCATCATTTACAAGTAAGTCAAAATGCATAGCACCTTGATAACCAGTGAATAACTTGTACGTAAAAACATATACCCCTGAAGTCGGTGTAGAAAAAAGTTCCTATATATTTGCTATAACCATTATCAAGGTTTCTTTTTTTACTTCATTGAATATCAGTTGATGATGGGCGCTTGGTTGTGGTTCATCCTTACTCATATAATCATGGTCTGTGTGTTCATCTGGCCTGTGCCAATTAAACGTTTCGCTTCCAATTGCTCCGAATGTACAGTGGATTCATTTATTTTCGTGGGTATCAATTTTCGTGGTTTGAGGGAAACTTCGTGGATATTTGATTTCGTGGTTTTAACTATCTCTGAATACTAATCCTATAGAAAATGTGTAATTCGTTGAACATGTAATTTTGTTGTTCATCTGTACCCAAGAAGTCCACAAAAATTGGTATCACTCGAATAATAATAAATCCACAGTCAATATAATAAAATTCACAAAATATTCGTGAGAATAGGGTTTTATTTGAGACAATTTACTGAGAAAAGTTAATAGCAGTTGTGTAACATCCTGTTGAAGAGAATTATGGAAAAACAAAATATTAAACTTAGTGCCGTACCGGCCGTAATGTTAACTGATAACGCTGTTCTAAATTAAGGGAGGGAGGGGGGGCTGAAAAAATCGGAATCGGATGACAGGAAGGACATAAGAAACTAATTTGCTTTTAAAGTTTACACAGTTCAAACGAAATAATTAAAAGACAGCGGGGGATAAACTAAACAGATACATGTGCATGCTAACACCAGGTCAAAGAGCCATATTAGGTTGATATTTAATCTGGAAGCTGGAGAAACAACACATAAATACGAGTCACCACATTTGTATTATAAATATCCCTGTCAATGCACGGAAGTAGAAAGTGTTTTATGACTTTATTGAACTGTCTTAAATTAGTTCAATTTCCATCCTGCAAATGTAGATTTGGTATCTCTATCACTTAGAACAGTCCCAGAACAGTCATTGTAAGTTCGCAGGTAAACATTATCGCCTTGATTAAGCGCCACTACTATAGTTTCAGAATCAGAGTCGTAATCATAATTCACATTAGTTTCACCATATGTGCTATCGTATATAGCATCATTCACGAGTGTGTCAAAACAGATTGCACCATGGTTACCAGTGTATAACTTGTACGTAAAGACATATACCCCTGCAGTCGGCGCGATAAAAGTTCCTGTGTATTTGCTTTAACCATTACCAAGGTTTGTTTTCACTTCATCGAATATCAGTTGATGATGGGCACTTGGATGGGGTTTATTCTTACTCATATGAGCATATAATGCAGTGGTGGTCGGTGTGTTTACCTGGCC